CTGCAACTTTTGCACCGTTGCCTACTCGTAGGTCAACTTCACCTTTAGCCAGCCTCCTACTTCTTGTTAGTCCCTGCACATTTGAACAAATGTGAGAACCACAACCGGTATCCAATACCCATGAAGTAGTGGTAGTAACATTTACTTCTATCTCATAGATACCTGAATTGGAAGCATCACCATGCCCCTTCTTTTTCAGTTCCTCCAAATACGCCTTGCAATTCCGCTTCCAATGACCAGTTTTGTTGCAGTGGAAACATTTTTGCTCTTCTTTAGAAGAAGAGCTAGCAACCGATTTGCCTTTCCCTGAGTTTTTAACCAGGGTTTTGGAATTCTTGTTTCCACCAACCTTGCCATTACCATGCTTCTTGAATCCCTTCCCCTTTTTGACCATCAAAATGTCACTCCGATTTTTCTTGATGTTTTGCTCAGCACAGTTGAGCATTCCATGCAATTCGGTTAAGGTCTTCTCAAGACCATGCATATTATAGTTCATGATGAACTGGTCATATGCCGGAGTGAGTGATGCGAGAATCACATCAGTAGCCAACTCTTGACTAATTGGAGATCCAAGTCTTTCCAGGTGATCCCTAAGCCCAATCATCTTGAGCACGTGAGGTCCAACTGGGCTTCCATCAGTAAGCCTTGTGTGAAACAAAGCTTTGGTCGTCTCGAACCTTTCGATCCGTGCTTGTTTCTGAAACAAGTTCTTGAGTTCATTAGAGATGTCATGTGCACGACGATTCAGAAACTGTTTCTGAAGATTGGCTTCCATGATGGTTAACATCAGACAAGTGACATCAACTTCATCACGGACATGCCTTTCATAAGCATCTCTAGTGGCTCTAGGAGCATTGGCCGCTGGTTCAGCAGGAATTGGTTGGTCAATGACATATTCTTTACGCTCTTGCTTGAGAACGATTCTCAGATTCCTATCCCGGTCCATGTAATTTGTTCCATTAAGTTTTTCCTTCTCAAGGATAGATCGCAGTGAAAAAGTTGTGTCGGCGGCCATATTTACTACAACAAATAATGCAAATAATTTTAAATAATGCTCAAAAAATACCTCCCACTATATTACATAGAAAGTCCCAAATATAGTGGTCCAAGATCCAAATTTCACTAAAATTTAAGTAAGCTTTGGCTTATCACTTGAAAATTAGTTATTTAGGTAAACAACTCTTGTTAATCATATCCAATATGACTCTTGGTTTGTTTGGTCAACATCATTTGATTATCCAAACACTCATTTCTTCAAGGCCCAAAACCATTTTGATGGCCTTGTAAGTCCAAACCAATATTAAGACCCGAGAATGACGATCATTCATAACATCTTTCTAAGATAGTGTGAAATGCTCTGCTTTGGCAGACACATATCACGACTAGCATAGTTTAAATGGTGGTCATATTGGGAAAGCAATTTAGACTTATAATTAGTTGGGACTAATAATTTACACACATGCATCAATCAAATATTTAAATAAATAATTTAATACTAGTGCAGTGATATAGCATGATCCCAAAATCTTCATATCTCCTTGACATCTTCAACCTGTGTAGTGTACTACTAAAAATCTACAGGGTTGAAAAACATTACAGGGGATAGTGGGAAACGGCACGCAGGCCGTAAAACAACATAATATAAAACATACATTCAGATCATGCTATACCACCACTTTAAACTGTCCCTGTGACGGAACAAAATAACTACGCATGCACGGATTGAAAATTAAATTTTAAAATCCGCAAGTAATATGTAATTAATTCGGATCTCATCCGAAAAATAAAATACATATTTAATGAATTCTAAAATAATTCGTATTATATGCACAAATACAGATCATATCCGTAATATAGATCAATTCTAATATGTTATAATATGGATCCCATCCCAACTAATTTTGTATTCTTTGATCTCAACTAATTTGGCAGAACACTAAATTTGTATAATTGAAGAATAAATTTGCAAAAATCAATTCGGATCTCATCCGAAAAACAAGAAGCTAAAACTTCCAAGATTAGATCTAAATATAAACTAGATCTAATTCAATCTTTTATTGATTTCAAATTGGGAAATCAATATATAACACAATCCGAATTTGATACGAAGCAATCTATATTCGGAATAGTTATACTCAAAATTATTCCAATTATATAACTTGATAGTATATAACTTTGATACGAAGCAATCTATACGAAGCTATATATAACTAATTACCATAAATATAAACTAGTTATATTCGGAATCTAAAACAGATTTTGAACCAAAAATCCGAATTTTAAGTCAAAATCCTAGTTATACTCAAAATTATTCCGAATATAAAACATAAATTATAAGTATCAAATTGGATCTAATTCAAACTCTTGAATTTTCATGTCCATTCAAATCTCTTCCGAATAATTAGGCTGTAGGATTCCATCCAATTCCTAATCTATTCAGATCTGATCTGTAAAATAAATATTATCACAAAACATTCTAAATATTATTGTGAATATATATTGGATCAAGTTCGAATCATTCGAATATCACATCCTTATAAAATTTCGGAATATAACATACACATATAAATTCCAAAATTAATAAATCAATAATTTCGAAATTAATAAAAAATTAATTCCGAAAATTAATCCCAAAATAATCAAATTATAGATTATACATCAAATCGTGTAACCCGAGTATAATAAAGAACCGTAGGCTCTGATACCACTGTTGGATTTCGGGCAGAAAAAGGGCATCGGAATAAACGAAAATCTTACTACCCAAAAGTAAAACAAACGGATCTGAGGTTCTTACTCTAAACGAAATTACGAGATTTAAGAAGGACTTAAATAGCAATCTTAATCAAGGATGTCAGACAGTCCAAGAAAACGATCCCGAGCTCTACCGGTATCCACACACACGTGACTGGATCGGCCGCAGGGAACGTGCTAGCGTTCTCTCCTTTCTTCCTCTCTACTCTAGGTTTAAGAAGTGAATTTTAACTCTTAAAATTCGTGGGTCTATATGGCCCTATTTATAAGAGGAGGAAAGAAGGGGTTTTATGGCTAATAAAACCCTTAAAGACGCCCTAGCCCAATACCATTCGAAACCCTCTTTCGAATTAGGCTAATCAAGCTACTTTAATGTTATTAACAAACATTAATGATCCAAATCACTTAGGTGTGTGACCCTGTAGGTTTATATATTATTGGCAGTGGGCTAGAAATTAATTCGAGCCTCACAAATCATAAGCGGTCTCTAGCAAGGCATTATGACTATCCAAAATATATAAATGTCAATTAAATCTGACATAACCTTTTAATATTTAATTTGTGCTAATAATTCTCTTTTGTCAAATGATACCTTAATTGAGACAAGGTTAGGTCATGTCATCCTTGTTATTCTCAATTAATATTTCTTGATTACCAAGTAAGATTAATCTTGATCAAATGACACCTCATTTGTGCATGGTCATGCTAATTAATCTTACTTGTCAAGGGCCCCAATAGATATCTTTCTCTCGATATACAAGAGTGACAAAAACTATCTTGATAATTCACATACTACTACATGGTTCATAATATGTACAATCACCACCTTTATAATTACCCAATTAAAGATAACATTTAATGGTGTTAATACATATTAATTCTCATGCAAGTAACCATGATTATCTCAAATATAAGAATATAGCACCTCATCATTATTGAGGACAACACTGATGACATATAACCTAGCAGTGTCCTCAAGTTGGGTCTGTCCAATGAACTTGTTCCCTAACAAGCATCTATGTTATTAACTTGATATCTCTATACCCATGACTAGTGGAATATAGCCATCAGTTAATCCACATACTGGTCTATTAATTATTAATGTCCCAAATTAATAATATTAGACCAGGGACAATTAGAATATTATGTTTATTTTAAAGTGTAGCATTCCACAATTAAGTCACATACTTAATTAGCTACTAAACAGAATATTCAGGGACTAAATATTAATAAAGAAAACTCACAATAATAATTAACATAAAATGAGTTTGTGACTTTATTAATTAATGAGCATTAAATATTTATTGATAAATCATAAACTATGATTGTCCTAGGGCATATTTCCAACAGAACTTTTATATGATGTTACTGAGTATCGCTGTATGGTAGGTGCTCTTCAGTATTTAACTATTACTAGATCTGATATGACTTATGTTGTACACCTTGTGTCTCAGTTTATGCATGCTCCACGTACTACTCACCTTTTGGCTATAAAGAGGATTTACGGGTATCTACAGGGCATGAACACGCATGGTTTATGGTTGCGAGCAAATAAAAATATTTCTCTTGTCACGACCTACTCCAGTGCAGATTGTGCAGGATGCCCAGACAGCTCACGATCTACTACTAGGTATGCGGTTTTTCTGGGCTCCAATTTGATTTCATGGCGCTCAAAGAAACAACCGACGGTCTCTAAATCCTCTACTGAGGCCGAGTACAGGGCTATTTCTTATTCGGTCCAGAATACACTCTTCGTCACATCTCTACTGGCAGATATGGACATTTTTATTTCGGCCCCAGTGCAACTCCTTTGTGATAATGTCTCAGCTTCATATTTGGCAGTTAATCCTATTCAGCATGATCGGAGTAAACAAATTAAAATCGACTACCATTTTGTTCGTGAGCGAGTAGCACATGGAGATCTTGTGGTAAAGCACATTTGTACATAGTTGCAGTTAGCTGATATCTTCACTAAGAATTTATCTAGTCAGCGGTTTGAATTTTTACGTTCCAATTTGCAGGTGTTTTCCCTGCACAAATTGAGGGGGCGTGACTATGAATTTTGTAAAAAATCTTAAACTAATTTCCGTGAAATGTATAAAGAGCTTGATGAAATTGGGGTGCAGTGGCTGAATGTGTGAAAAACGATATATTCTTTTTATTAATAAAATAACAAAAAAACTATATGAAAAACAGCTAGAATGATTTGTTACATTAACTTCAACCAATTCAGTTAAAAAAGGCAATTTCTCCCTTACTTATAAGGCAATTTAACACACGAAATAAAAAAATCACGACTTTGGTGTAAAGGTTGACGATAAGCAGAAATCATGGGTCACCAAACAGGCTCAAAGTATGCGAATACTTTCATTTAGGTTATCATAAATGTGATTATCTAGATTACAAGATAATTATTCTCGTGTAACACACTGGTACTATACTAGTTCTTTATGAAGATTTATTAAAAGTAATAAGGGCGTACAGGATGTATGATATTTAAAAATAACATGAACATAGGTAATCGAACAGATTAAGGGAGAGACTGCAGATACAAATTATAAGCCGTAGACGGGTTGGTAGTGGTAGTAATGCATATAGTGATGCATAAAAGTAAGAAAATGGCGCGCCGGGGAGATGATTCAGCACTTTGGGAGTTGAACTCGGCAGGCAGAGATGACGGTCTTGGCATTTGGGGAGTTGATATACTGTTGCAGATTGGGGTCTTTGCGGTACTGGCAGAAACAATTCTTGTGGCCGTCGAGACTCTGGCAACAGGCGCCGGTTGGGGGGGCGCTGGACGTGAAAGCACCTATGCAAGGGTACAGCTCCTCCACGTTGCATCCGCCGGCGGCACCGCCTACCACCGCCAGCATCACTACCATCATCATCACCATATTCTTCTTCATTCCATCCATCCTCTTCTTTTCTTTCGGTGCCGTTTTGCCTTCACAAGTTCGTCAATTTATACTCCCCTGCATACTTACTTATGGGTGGTGGTTAACTTAATTAATATTACTAAGCCAGTAATTATAATAATAATAATATACGGAGTACCAAGTACCGCATCTAAGTAAGCTTGCTACAAGTACTCGTTCAATTCGTTGGTGCAAACAAACAAATGTGAAATGCCCCCACCCCACCCACCCAAATGTCACATTTACTCCTATGTCAGGTTATCTGTTTCTAGTTTAATAATGCAAATCACACGGAGTATATATATAATTAATACTCCGTAAGGGTTAAAGGGGTAGATGTGTCAAACCTTTATCTAAATTAACCATGAGCATAGGGAGTGTTTGCAACTGTTTCTTCTTTAAAAAAAGCACTTTTGAAGATGTAAGGAAAAAGTGATTAGTAGGAAAAGTTGATAGTATTTGAGAAAAAAGTGATTTTGAAAAGTAAAAATTGATAGTGTTTGGTAAAATAAGTGCTTTTTGTGTAATAGAAAGGGGAAAAACACTTTTCACACGCAAGCCGAGAAAAAGTAAAAATTGTTAGTGTTTGATAAATAAGTGTTTTTTAAGCCAAAAGCTGAGAAGTGCTTTTTTTAAGTGATTGCAAACACTCCCATAATCCTCTTGATTAACAATTCTGCAGATTGTCCAAAAAAGAAAAATGATTAATATTTTTTTTGTAAAACTCAATCTCACCATCAAGATCCATTACTTTCTGATTGCTCAATCTATAGAACTATATACATCAACTAGCGACGGTACGCGCGATGCGCGAGGTCAGTGCCCAACGGAGGAAAGGCGTTCACAACAAACGGGTAAAAGGTGCGTAAATAAGCCAAAAGGAGTTTAGTGTTACAAATCAGCCAAAAGGCAATTACAGTACTGGCCCTTAAATAAAACCACAAAAAAACCACACAGAATGATGTATTTGGGCCAGGACAGTTTCCGGTAAAGACAGAAAATGTTTGGAGATTAAAGTACAATTACATTGCTACTGCCAAAAGGTAAACAAAAAAAAAAAGCTGCAAAAGTATAGGTGCAAGGTCATTAAGTGTCACAGTAAAAGGATGGCAATGGAATGTGTTGATTTGAAGTCAAGGGATCTGAGCAAATTCAGTGCGGGCAGTGATCCGTATGGCATAGACATGTGGCTGGTTTGGCAATTTTTCAACTCCGTATGAAGAAATTACAAGCAGCAGCGCCTCACCGCTGCCATGCCTAAGGAAAAAGAGAGTGTGATGGCGCTTTAACGCGAAAGATGTTAGAATCTGGTGACTCAATGATTGTTGTCCAACGACAAAGTAAGCGTCATTGTTGCCATATAAAATGCTCACACGGTTCCTCATATTGGTGCATGCCCGAAGGAATGCTTCACAGCATACCTGCATTGAGATACAAAATAATAACAATTACAGTAGTGAAGCTGTGAGAAGTTGGAAACAGTTTTTTTTCCCAAACACAAACTGAAAATAAGAGTGCAAAATAAAGAAATGGTATGAAAGGGAAATCAGAGGCTGATGTGGCAGCCATCAACATATGTATTCAACTTGTTAATCATGCTATTATGATTGCCCATTAAATAAATGGAGTGGAATGTTTAATAAAGGGAATAAAGAAGCATAAAGAAAGAGATATGTAATATCAATGAATGTACCAAGGCTCAGACCTTGCTTGTTTTCTTGGGCACAAACAGAAAGGATGGTTGACAATAGAGGTAGTTGTATGAATGTTCTTTGAAAGAAGACTCCACATACACACGGAAATCATCTGTAAGCAACAAAAGTGGATATTATGAAGTTGTGTAAGAGAGCAGGAACAACATGCTATACTATGTTAATGATAAATGGAACCAATAGAAGAACAAAGTGGGGGGGGGGGTGAATTAGGTGTATGGCATGATAGGCCAATTGTATAGTAATGTACCTGGGGTATGCAACGTATTTGAAACACCAAAGGGCTTGCCAGCCAAGTTCAGAGAAAAACCTAGTTTGCCAAACATGAATACTTCAAAAGTGAAGTTTCCCACATGACTTAGAAGAGCATATGAGCCAAAGTCAATATCATTAGTGATAAACAGGTCAGCAAAGTCATCAGTGAAAGTGACAGCGTTAAATTGGACATCCCATGAGGTTGTTGCATACACAAGGCGAGCAGAGGGGCACATATGTTCGAATAGATGCCTGGGCATGCAGGGAGGGATTTTCTGGACAATGATGGGGGGTTAAAAAAATGATTACTGTGAACAGTTATAGGGGGGAAAATAGGGCATAAGTAGATGTGAGGCAATGAACACACAACAAGATAAACGGAGGGGATGTTAAGCTGAAACCAAACAATATTGAACTGAACCACGTCTGGAAAATGGAGGTTCTCCGTTTTTGGATAGACTGTGACGAAACAATAAGAAATAAAAGAGCAGGCATTAGGAAAACAGACTAACACTGGAATTTGGAAAAAATAGGGAACGGAGCATGGTGATAATATTAATAACCCCAGATTGTTAGGTGGGTAGGAGGGGGGGGGGGAGAGGGTAGGTAAATTACCTGTAATTGGAGGAATCAAGGTGCCTCTATGCATGAAATGGTCAATCTTATGTTTGAGTTCATCTTTGTTTCTGAAGTGTTTTGGTAGGAGCTTCCAGTATCCTGAAAGTTGCAAGAACTGTTTCCAATCAGCAGTAGTCTCGCAGGTCTCCTCACCCATGTTTGTTGAGGTAACAATAGCGACCTTGAGCATTCTCCCATGAACTGTCTGGATGAAGTATGTAAGGGTTTCAGCGGTAGTGTGATATATTTGTCTTTCAACGACACAAGATCTGAGCAAATCCATAGGCCCTGCAAAAAAAAAGAGTCCATGAGAAAAATATATGCACTAAGGCATGACATAATGCAAACAATGACATAAAAGGTTTGAATGTGCCGACACAGTTTGACAGATGCAAATGAATATATATAAACTTTGATATATCTACACACTGTTATGGGGTAAATCATGTGGAGAATATACAAAGATGAATAAGAAATTCTAGAATATAAAAAAATATGAGCGAAAGAAGGGATACAGCAGAAATACAGTGCATGCATGTGATGTGTTTGGTCTCAATGATACAATGATCCCGCAATGTAGAAGAAAGAAAAAAAAATAATAGATGATATTCGTGGATGGCAAGGTATGTATTAGGTCTAAATTTAGTATTACAAAAAGGACAGAGGTGAAGGGCATCAATGTATAGCTGACTGGTATGGGTCATAACATGTGACTTTATAGAGTCTAAACAAACCACACATTTTTAAATACATGTGATAAGTTTAATTCGATTGTATACATTTTAATATTTTCAACATTAAAATTCCTGTTTTGTTAAAGACTTTGTGGTTGCTACTGAATAAGGAACGAAAAAAGTTTAAGACGCAAAAAACGCAGATGATGCATATACGTTAATAAAGAATAAGATCAAGAAGAGTTAAACTTGGATATATACCTAGATCTGTTTGTCCCCATCAATGTAAAAAGGTATGAGGTCTCCTTGATTTCAACATGTTCATTTATAAATCCACCTATACATAATGGATTAACAATAAGACCATTTCGTGTGCCCACGTTTTAATAGTGAGAAAGTTAACACAATAAGGACATACGCACTTTACAAATTTGTATTGTATTAATAGGCACGTACAGGTGATTGTTGGTGTTTGGCCATGACCTGCAAGCAAGGAAGAAACAAAGCAAAAAAGTGCAACTACAAAGGAAAGAATTAAAAAAATAAATTTAATGCAGGCTGCAGCATATAATTAGTGTTAAGTTAGGGGTAAAAAAATGTAGTCACCATATAATCAGTGTGAAGAAATCTTGGAATGTACAGTCCTTGGCTATGTTTGGAATGTCAAACAGAGGAAGATGGGAAATAATTTTGGAAAAATTACTTTTATTTTAATGTGTTATTAGGAATAGCAAAATGTGATGAAAATTAATTTTGATTATAACATCTTAAATGTCTAATACAGCGGTAATAATGTTGTTAAAATCTGCAAATGTAAAATAAAAAACAGCGTACTCGACAAAATAAAAATGTCATTTTTGTATGCAAATGCAAGTAAAATGTGGATAGATAAATGTGATGACAGGTCAGTGTAAAATAAATTCATAAGCGCAACAAAAGGTTAGTATATAGAAAAACAATATAACGTATACCTGGTTCAAGCGATGTAGGTGAAACAAGGAGTAACCCATGAATACAAAAGTGCATAAAACATGAAAAGGAAAAAAGAAACGGGCACACACATGCGACATAAATGTACAGAAAGGCGTATTTACAATCCCACAACAGGGAGGGTAGTTGCAGTTAAAATTTACATAAAGTTCTGCATTGCAGCAGCGGATGGGCAAAAACAGATGGTACAAAGAGGAGAGGAAGAGATGCACACATATGCATAATTAAACAGTAAGTTAAGTGGCAGTATCACTGTCACTGCATGGAAATTATACAATGTAAGTTTAGGCAAAAAGGGGGCTGGCACAAATGCAGATGTATTGTAACACAAATAGGATTAAACCAACCAATGCACTGTCCACCCCTGAAGTCTGCAAAAAAATGCACCACAAGTACATCAAGTGTTGGTAGTCCTTCGTTTTTTGAGACGCAGCTGTGCATTTGTTTCTTCTGAAGCAGTGTCAATGGGAAGCACATGTTTGGTTGACGAGGATGGTGGTGTGGAAGGCAACTGGCCAAGGGACTCAAAGGGCAGTGTTTTTTTAGGTGAGGTTGATGGGGCAGTTTCAGTTGCAGGTGGAGGAGGGCTATCAATTGGAGACTCAGGCGGGTTGTCTTCCACAAATGTTACACATGCGATGGTGTATAGATTTCCTGGTAGTCCATCGTCATGAGATCTGGCCCGCTTGACCCCAGACACAATGGTTACATTGCGAATCTTTGCAGCAAACATTTCCAAGTCTATGTTATCTGTTGGATCTATATTAACAAATTTAAACAACTGCAGGACATCAGACGTGAAAAGAGTGACAGCTATAAAGCTTGTTCCATCGTCAAGGGAAGCATTGAGTCTGAACCTGTATGTACCCCAATTTGTATTTCGTAAGTAAACAAAACACACAGAAGTGTGGAAAATAAAAAAACATGAATGTACCTCTTAACAGTTGTGCCATTTTTCTGTCCACAGAATAAACACTGAAATGTCACACCCGCTATGCTGTGAACTTTGCGATTGCAGTAGTCACACCCGATGTAGGAACCCTCTTCAGAAGTATCTGAGATGTGAAATTTGCCAGAAATCCATGCAATAGGGGTCTGTGTAAGGTGAGCATTAAAGAGTACTATGATGAGAGAGGTAACTGAACACAACAGAAAGCCAATATGGTGTTCATTTTTTAGTTAGCTATACCTCGGAAAGGGTATTTTCCAAATCTGCAAGGGCAGTTAAATGCTGTGAAAGAGGCCTTGCAATCAGTGTGAGGGCACTGTCATATTTCCTTGACAAGAGGACCTCATTGATTTGGTCTTTGTTATCATCAACCCTGGCAAAATAAATAATTTTTTAATGAGATGGTTCTTAAGTATAAGCGTAAGGTACGCAAACAAATGTGCAGATAAGCTAACGCATAAGCACCAGTTTTTCAAGCGGAAAGAGCGTTCCCCTTGTGGATGGAGTTCAACATGACAGTCAAAACGAGTTGAAAGCGTCAACCCTGAGTAAAAAATATTTAGTTTCTACAAACAATGTAAGAAATAGAGTGGGTGCCATTAACACCCAACAAGAATAGTAAATTTAGCAACGCTGACAGGAAAAAACATGATGTGACCTTGGAAAATGTTGATACCAGCCCTGTTTATGAGAATAAGGGGAAAATCTCCAGCTTCCAAACACTTATCAATCTCACAACCATGGCGCGTGATGAATTCCTCCCACATTGTGAATGGGATTGGGATGCACCTATTCAAATAAAATGCAAATACGGAGTAAGTACAGTGCCAATATTCTATTAAATGGAAGGTAAATAAGTAAAGTTAATGCGTACTGTTCATCAACGAGAATCACATCCCATGCTGGTTTCTGAACATTGTTTGTGAACACAAAGGTGCGAGGCATTTTTTTCACTATTGCAGCCAAAACCTCTGCATTTTATAATGCAACAATAATCCGTCATATAAATAGCAAAATGAAAGAGCATATAGAATAGAACCATAATATAGTGTTTGTATAATGGTGTTTCATGAAGCCATATATTATAACTGAACATACAAAATATTGCAGATATATACTCAAAGCAGAGATGCTTACTGATACGGTCATGACGTATGTAAGCAGCGTACATATCAGTAAAAGCAGTGATATCTGCCTCAGCTAACTGGCGGAAGTCTTCTCCTTCCTGGGCAGCAACATCTCGGATCAAGGTGCGGCGGGTGAAAGACCAAACGTAGGGGTACTCCGCGTCAACACAAAAGCGAATGTTGGCAATTCGCTTTACATACGCATTCGAGATAAGGTATGTTGAGTGTAATACAAGGCGCTGATCTATCCCTTCGATGTCACCTTGGAAGGCAGTGGCCTGTACCCTGTTTCCCTGTACAGAATAGGCCAATAAATCTGTCAGAATGCATAACTGTAAAATCACATTACTGAAAAAGAGGGGAAAAATAAGAAACTTACAGCAGTGTCCATCAGGATCATTGGCAAGAATTTCATAGGAGAAGTTTTGGCAGTACGCACATTTTGCTTCTCCATAACTGTAACACGGCACGTCCATGGATGGGTTGCAGGCATGATTGCCACGATAGGCAGCTGAGCCTCCATCTTACTTTTAGTTGATTGTAGCATTAAGAAATATCAGTTAACTCCACAAAATTCATGTAATTTCTGAATGAAGAGTTAGTGAATGCAAAGTTATGATGGAAAAAAAAAATGGAAAATAACCTAGTTAATAAATGCCAATATTTCTTCAAAGACAATGTTTGGTGTAGTATTAGCCAGTTTCGGATCAAGAACATCGGGGCAAATAACAATTTTAATTGAATCTGCGTTGCGGGCTCTTGACATTGCGACATATAATTGGCCGTGTGAAAATACAGGTTCTTTTAAGTATATGCCCACAAAATCAAGTGTTTGTCCTTGTGATTTGTTAATTGTCATCGCAAAGCAAACCTTTACAGGGAATTGGGTGCGCTTAAATGGTACTGGGCAATTTTCGTCCCGGGAAACTTCAAGCGGTATTTTGGGAATGAAGACATGTTTGCCTTTGTGGTCGCCTGCTGCAATGAAACAGCTTAGAATGTGATCCCCAAAAGAATCACAAATCAAACGGGTTCCGTTGCATAAGCCTTCGCATGGATTGAGATTACGCAACAACATGATTGGGCAATTGTGCTTCAAGGTCAATTTATGAGGAGGTAAGCCAGTGGGGGACAAAGTGTGCAAATAATCTGCACAATGTGTGTTTTTTGGGTCTAAAGGGATATCATAGCTTAGAAATGTTTGAGCATCACCAGGGAATTTATGCATGAGAGATGTATTGATAAAATCAACAATTTCATTCTTTGTTGTTAGTATGGCACGTGATATCAGAGAATAAGGTTCACTTTCAAACAATCTCAAATCCGGATAAACAGCAGAAAATAGCAAATCTAGTGACTCCGTTTCAGTGATCCAGGGAAGCAGAAAATTGGAAGGGATTTGTATTCTCCCTGAAGATATATAAGGTTCAGTCCCGTTGCCTATTCGCAGTACATACTCACAAAAGGAAGGGTCTTCATGGGCACGCATATTAACCACCAAACGTAATCGCTGAACATGTGGCCATATTGTCTTTGATCTGAGCAAACAAGCATCCACAAAGTCGTGTCTTGTGCCCGAACGCACTACTGGAAGGGTTTGCCTAAAATCACCGCCAAACACCATCAACCGCCCTCCAAAAAGAGTGTCAACATCCAGCAGATCCCTAAGTGTGTTGTCGAGGCTTTCAACAAGCAGGCGATTGGCCATGGATGCCTCGTCCCACAGAATAAGGCGAGCTTCTCTAAGCAGACGCGCCTCAGATGATTGTTTGCCTATATTGCAAATATACTTTGATTATCCGTCAAGTGGCAGTTTAAAGCGCGAGTGGGCAGTACGACCTCCGGGAAGAATTGATGCCGCAATACCTGAGCTTGCAGTTGCAAGTGCAATCCATTTGTTTATTCGAGTCGCAGCAAGCAGACACCTGTACAAGAAAGTTTTTCCTGTCCCACCAGGCCCATCAACGAAAAAACACCACCTTTGCAAGCATATACAGCCGCCATTATGGTGTCAAACGCTGCTCGCTGTTGAATATTCAACGAAGCAATGCCATTGAGATCCGTATCACTGACGGGTATATTCAGTTCTGCTGATAGTTCGCGTGTGATCCCTTCTGTGGACGTCTCTTGGAGTTCATCATCTACCAAATTGAATGAGTCTATTTGCTTCCCCATTTCAGCAAACAAATCCCGTAATACCATAAGTGCTGCCTTTTCAGCTATTGAACTTGACTGAAAACGGGCGAAATCTTCACTCAAATGAGCTTTGTATTCAACCCATAGTGCGCGTGGATCTGGGACATCTGAATAGCATAAATGGGTAGCAAACAGTTTTCGAAGGCTGGAGGGCAATTGAAACAAAACCGCCTCGTCTAAGGACGCTCGTATAACAAAATCACCCGAGAGAAGCCCAAGACGTTCAGCTGCAGCTCTATACGATGGAAGATTATCATGGCCAATGCAACGGAGGTGTGCAAATGACGTTGGTGCACGTACATTGGATAACAAAAGGCGCAGAAAATAACGTTCCCCTTCAAGGGGATTCACTGAAACAAGTCTGCCTATCACTACCTGTCGTTTTCGTTGAGTCCATTCTTTATGTTGGTTATTCCAGACAAAATAGTGAGGAAATTCAACATACAGAAGGTTTAGAGATTTTGCAACAGAATTGCATGTGTTCATGGCAAAGAATTGAGTCAACATTGTTTTCATGGAATCAAGAGCCTCCGTAATGTATGTTATGCGTTGATTTCCATAAAATGTAAGGTATTGGGCATTTTCAAGGTGTACTTGAAGCTGAAGAACAGCAGGGTGCATTTCTGAAATAGGAAAACTGAAAATGCGCCATGCTGCCTCTGGAGCAGACACCCACCGAGCTTTCTGGAAATCAGCAATTTCATCAACCACTTCAGGGACCTGTGTTTCTGACAAGGACATACTGATCCTATCGTGGCCCTTGTACACGTATTTGTATATATATTTTACTGACTTTACACTGGCGCATGCCTCAACATTGATGTGGCAATCATATTTTCGCAATAGGTTGGTGTTATAAGGGACTACCCAGCGGTTATCTAGAGAATGTTTCCTGACTGTGGCTGTAATTCCCGATTCACGCCGCCTGTATGAAGGAAAACAGTCTTCATCAAACAGGGTGACAGGCGCAAAACTGCGCGGGTATTTGCTCCGGCATGTTGATACTCTCGACCCACGTCCCATTGTCATGCAAGGGCATTGTGGATTCAAGTGTCCACAAGGACCATGCATCATATGTTTTTTGACAAGCACGTACATTTCATGGTTTGCTGAGGGGTCTGGCAGTTCAGCCGTAATGAGTCGGTCACAATGGGAAGCAGTCGATATCTTCCATTCTCTCGACAGAATGAGTAAGAAATGAGCATGAGGGAGGCCCCTCTTTTGGAATTCAATAACATAAGTGTACGCAACAACCTTACCAAACATAGATTTGGTAATAATGTCTTTCTTAAACTCTTGCAAACGCGCCCGAAACACCCGAGCAACGAGATTAGGTCTATTCTGGGCTTCGTCAGCGTACGCCAGGCGGTCTTTGATTTCTGGCCAGTTGGGGTTGCAGGTAATGGTGATAAATAGATCTGGTTTACCATAATTTTGCACCAGTGCCATTGCATCCATGTAACGCCCGCGCATGTCGCGTGGCCCACCGATGAAGGAGCCTGGAAGCATGATGCGTCGGCCTACAGCATTTGTGTTGTCGATGCCTGCGTCAACACTGTCAACTAAACCCTGATATGTTTCACCCCGATATTCATGTTGTTTGCTTCGATAATAATCAAGCCGTTGTGTTTCAATTTTAATATACAAGTCAACCATATATTGCTGAAATAGCCGTCCAGTGTGTGTCACAAATGAGTTATCGGTGTGACGCAATTGTAACTTGTACGCATAATACTGCCTGCAAGAAACTGAATGTTTTTTCTTTCCAGTAGCAAGTACTTGTTGTTCTGCGGATATTAGTGATTCATGTGTTCTAAAGTCAGTGCAATCAACAGAAATTGAGCTTGTAGGCACGGGACCATTACGTAGCGGCTGAATTGTGTTTTTGGGAATTCCCTCGTGCCAGCCCACTTCCCCATGTGGGAACAACAGCGGATATTGTAAAGGATCATAACAGCCATAGTAGTAATGGATGTTTTGAGAACTGCCGCTGTGTGCGTACACACGGATGTTTCTGCTTGAAGTTACACCTTCAAAACCATCCTCCACCCAAACGGCAGCAACCTGAGAAGCGGTGGGGCGGTTATAAACACGCTGATCAAGCTGAGGATTGCTATTGAGGACAATGGAAAATTCACCTGTTTGATCAATTTCGGCGAGCGTTTTGAAGAACTGCGCATACGGGTTCGCACACATCACCTCCATCAGTATCCGAACAATATCGCTATCCAGCCGGTCAGTAGATTCCATCCGACTGGCAAGCGCATGATCCGTGTCATAGAAATACAACTGTAAGTTTCGTGGTGGGCATCCATCAGGAAGTAGGTCATTTATAAAATGGTATATTTGACCTTGAACTCTGAATGTGTACACACCCTGGTTCCGGCGACAAAGACTCTTATCGTAGTTGTAGATCCCGATTGATGTGAAAGCAAATGTGTTGTTGTACGTGCGCACACAAGATCTAAAGTGTTTTGACAAAGGGTCGTGCGACGTAAACAGTTGAACAAGGCGTTCCGGCATTTCAGATGAGGTGAGTACTACTTCACCTTTGCTACAACACATACTTGCAGTTTCATATTGTAGCCGCTCGGCACCACAAAACATGCAGTCGGGAATTTTTGCAAGCCTATAGGAGTCGGCAACATTTGACGATGTGGTGGCCCCCCCATGACCAGACTGATGAACTGGCGTCGGTGCTGCTATAATAAGTAATTTGAGTATGCCATAAAAGGTCACCACACAAATGCATTGCATTGGCGTGTTCCCCAACACAAAGACGAGCAAACGCAAATTGACAGGAGCCAGATAGATCATCAGTCGATATGTGTGCACGGTGATATGCAGTAAACGCAATACATAAGGCACCACGTCGGGCAAAACACAATGGCAACGATTGGAAAATCACCGGGAAAAAAATGATGGGGGGGAAAATGACCAACAGCAGTAGTTATTTTTGACCATTGATTGAGAGAATAGTTTCAAGGCACGTAGAATATAGGCAACGGAAATAAGGGTAAATTGTTTCAACGGTATAAACAAACAGAAACAAATACAGGGACACACATGTTTGGTAGTTGTTACGTTCATGATAAGGGGGCATTGCAGAAAGAAGATGGGGGGAAAATATATTAGATTGAATCTCAAACGGATGTTGTCAAAGAGACGTATAAATCAGGGTACAAACATTGACACACCTGAAGAGCTTGCAGTAGCACCAACGTGCGAACGAGGGATGGACACAGAAGTTGAGGCACCTTGACTGGTGGAATGTCGTTCCATATACGCAAGACGCCGGCGTTTCAGACGATGTTCATTCTTTTCCTCCAGAGCGCGCCCACATACAGCCGCCACCCTGGGACGTCCCATTACTAAATACACTAACTAAACACACGGCATAAGAATCTTCGCATCAAAGAACCTGTCAAAGCACGACTATAAAAAAAATTGAACGCTCGGCTACCAAATCATACTTCAATGGGCTTACAAACAACCCGAGCACAACCGCAGAGAACATTAAAAATTCTATAAAAAACAATAACGGCGCATTACACGCTGATCCACCAGGGAAATCACCACGCGTTCGGGCGCCATGTTAAATCAGTAAATAGCGACAAGTAAATACAAAATAGGGAAAATATTATGAAGGCAAAACAATTCCAAAACATTTTGCACAGGAAAGTCTCCAATATCTTTGGCATGAATACTTACAGACCATATAATTCACATAAACCAACGTTAGCACACAAATATCAAACACACAATACTTTTATATATTTGGAAATGCGAGAAATAACTTACAATTTCAGATATCCGAATAAGTGCGGCTGCAGTACCTGCTGTCAAACACGGAAAAAAACACCAGTATTCCAACGTAGTTAAATCCAGATGAACACATCCACATACATCCCCATTTATGTCACTAACAAAACAAACATTTAACCACATACAAGTACCAAACATTTTTTAAAGCGAAAAGCGTCCAAAAGCGATGACCCCGGGCTTTGCTTCAAAGCGAAAGCGCTAATCAAAGCGAAGCTTTCTCACAAAAAGCGATGCTTAAAAAAAAATTAAAGAAAATATAATATATAATGTATACTTATGTAAAAATGCATAAGTAGTCATCACCCTCATTCTAAATAATACTAATGCAGCATAAAGTTTCAAAACATTCATCACACATTACACAAAAACACATAATTAATCATAATGTCATAGTTTCAATTCTCTATCCCTTTTTAGCAAGAAGGTATTGTAATTAACTATCTTAACTCAGTTAACTGGCTTAAGCCAAAGTAAATAACAGTACTTATCCCTTAAGCAACAAGGTCACACACATGGCAGAACATTGAGTATTTTTACAGGGGAAGATGATCAGAACAATGAACTGTAATGAACTAATAATAACAAATAGCAGACTAAAAGAAAATTTCATGTAAACTGCAAATATTTAACATCACACACATGGCAGAACTAATAACTATTAACATGGCAAATAGTTAACAACATCACAAACAGATTTCTTGTAAACTGCAAATCGTTAACAACATCACAGTATGACACACACTTGTAAACTGGAATTGGGTCAACTGGTCAAGTGTGTCTGCTATTTACAGTTTACAAGACAGCTCCAGAAATCTTAAAAAAACCAGTTCCAGAATCAGCAGAAAGGGGAAGAAGATCAGAAGAACGAAATAATGACTAATAGGCTAATTGCAGACTAAGTGAAATACTTCAGCAGACTAAGAAAGGAGAATAACTCAGGTCCTCTGTCCTCAGCGGCTCAGCAGATTGGGATGTCTCACGTTTCCTGATTGTCGCAGCTCTGAAGAAGAAGACCTGGAGCCCTAGAACGATGGGATGGAGTTTCGAACAAATGGCAAGTATCGTAACCCTAGGTAAACCATATACTAAAACTAAAATTTAAAACTTAAACACCCGTAACAAAAATCCAACCACAAAAACAAAAGAAAATCGCAAGCCCGCCCTGGGCCCGAGCGCAAGAACCGCAAAGATGGAACACGACGAAAATGGCATATTATAAACATACAAATAACAGGTATCTTACAGTTCAGGAAGAACCAGCAAAGACCAGACAAACAGAGATAGAAATTCGAAGACAAGGAAAACGACGAAGAAATAAAATGATCTCCTGCATCTTATACAGGCCAGCTGCGAAGTGATCTACCACACAAAGGAACCGACATACATAGATCAAGCGGTCGAGGTTGGAAGGGCGTCAGAGATATTTCCCCCCCGCCAATCAAACTATTCGCCTCACAAGCTGGGATGTGTTTTCCGGGTAACTTGAAAGTGCGTTGGCCGAGATAGTGGGGAAATAAACGGAACCCTTCCGTTAGTTAAGATTCGCGCATGAAGCGTTCACCGTCCGCACTGTAGTAACGTATAACAATCCAATTTAACTCCCTTCCACACTTTATATATAAGGAGATACTCATAACTCCGATGAATTTGACACATTTTTAAATAATAAGAGAGATTCACTGAAATTATATATCAACAGGGTTTGACACATTAAACCCGATGATTAGTACGTTGGAGTGAGTTGGAGTATCTATGCGGCGCTACTAGCCTACTACATACTACCTCTGTTTAGATAAGTGCAACACACAAAATTTTACACTATTCACATGTTCTACTTTAACTATATTTGATTCATTGATCTATTACAGATATTTTTTTGAAAAAAATATTACTACCTCCGTCCCGTTGGAATGTTCCCGGTTTGACCTACACACATATTAAGGAAATAAACTTGGGTGATTGACGAAACAGGGTAGGATCTTTGCAGACCATTCCAAATGGTGTAGATTCTGGTCTGCAGACCATTCCAAAGACTCAACATATTTGGTGAATATGTTCAATAGATATCTCTGAATTTTTATTAAAAAAGATCGAAGTCAGAGAACATATTTGGTGAATATGTTCAATGGATTTCTATTTAAAAAAAAGAAGAAGTCAGTGAACGTATTTGGCGAATATGTTCAACAGTTTTCGATTAAAAAAATCAAGCAACATATTTGGTGAATATGTTAAACGATTTTCGAAAAAAAAGAGGTTTGAATAGATTTAGTTAACAATGCTTTATTTATTTCTTCCCACATTTCACGAAAATTATACACTACAATCTTCTGAATTGAAATATTTATTGAAATGATAAGAAACAACTTGTTATTAAAAACTTAAAAAGTACAATTCCTTCATAAGAAATTATTAAAAACGCTGAAATATTAAAAATACATGAAATCATTGTTGTCCTCTTCTTCTGCTTGGACGCATATCCATCTCATTTTGAAACCTCGTTTCTTGACGACGCCCCACTCGAGAAGTTCGTGATAAATATTTTGGCGGTAAAAGATGGATCCCAATATCAGGCCACTCATTCATATTTGGTAAAGGCATAATATCACCAGCATGTGCATTAATGTAAGAGGTCAGTTTATAGACTTCCGGAATAAGTTGATTGACAGGGCGGTCGAGGAAGTGACACACAGCATGCACGTGGCTGCATGGCATCCAGTTCATCCTCCAGCAGCCACAATCACAGTCGCTCCTTGAAAAATCTACCGTAACCGGAGTTGCATTTTCTATGGCTACTGAGAAAACTCCATTGTGATAATTGTGCGGGATTACAACAGTGTGACGCCTTTGTTTCCATCCATCCATAATCTGCTTCCGGATTTTTTCCGGAAATTGATATCCACTTTGATTCCACATCATACCAGCATTACGTCGTTCTACAAAGAGCTGAACAGATTTATCGAAAGTTGCTCTCACAAGTGCTGTAATCGGAAGCGTTCTACATCCTTTTAGGGCATGGTTAAAACTTTTAGATAGATTGGTCGTTAAAATTCCATAACGACATCAACCATCAAAACAAAGTGCCCACTTCTCTTTAGGAATGGCATCAAGATAGTTGAATGCTCTTTCATTAGCACCCCGTATTTGTTGCATGTAGTTAGTAAATTCATTTAGAATGGAAGTACTTCCGGCACGCCAACACAATTTTTTGAGATTCTTGCTTCGAAATTGGGACATAAAATTACTTCGAATGTGTCGAAGACAATATCGCCTCTGAATTAGAGGTGTTCCCAATTGTGGCACATTCCGGAACGCACAATCAATCGCGACATGTCGGTCAGATATTATGCAAACATTCCGACGCGGAGGATTAAACATCCTCCAATCGAAGATGTGTCCGCCTTCGCCGCTTCACATAAGTTGTGGTACAGAAATGCCAACACAGCTGAGCCCCAACTCCACCTAGTCAAATTCTCTACATTGTCATGCAACAACTCAAGAAAGTAAAGTGACGCTCTACCGGAAGTGCTAGGGAACAACAACCCACTGAGCAACTGCCAAATCAACGTTTTAGTATGTTGAATAACTTCAATGTCAGTGCTCCACGGTGACAACAAAAAGCGCTGAATGGCTAGATTTCTAATGCTGTTGGATGATATTATATCTTTTTCAAATGGTCTGAAACCAAGATAATCATCACACATTTGGACCCATTCAGTCTTACTATGTGCCGTCGGACCAGTAAGTGGGAGACCATCAATCGGTAACCCCAGCAGCACCTGTACATCTTGCAAGGTAATGCCGACCTCGCCAAAAGGTAAATGGAAAGAATGTGTTTCTGGTCTCCACCTCTAAACCAATGCAGTGATAAGACCGTGATCAATTTTGATTTGTACTACTCGTTCAGCTCCTTGAAAGCCTGATGCCCTCAGCAGTTGTACGACTCTAGGATCACGTTCGCCATCGTCTTTGGCGGATTTGGGGTAAGTAATGCACCTCAATTTTAGGTCTCTCGACTCTTCAGTTTTCCACACATTATCGGCACGATGTTCTCCAGGTTTCATTACCAATACAGAACGTTTTATGGGCCCGGGATGGGGGTGCTCTCTTTGTGTAGCCATGAAAACCTAAAAGTATATTATTAAATTAATTCCAAATCAACACTCCTATTTGTAATACTTTGTGCGTAATTACAAATTTAATTAAACAACACTATTTATAATACAAATTATATATGTAATTAAACAACACTACTTATAATACAATTTGTAATACAAATAAATACACCTAATTAAAAAACAACATATTTCGTTAACTATAGACTAATACTATACATTAATTTTTCGTTAATTATCACAACTTATAGACTAATTTCTACACCAAAATAGGAAAAATTACTACAAACTTTAAACTAAAGGTGGGCAAAATTTTCCAAAAAGGTTAGCATGCATATTACTAAATTTATACATACATATTTGGTAAAGTAACAGTAATCTTTCATATTTGGTAAATAAACTAAAATTTCGCAAGTTTCCTATTTCACTTTTTTTGTTTAGGTTCCTAATTCACAATTACAAATTAACACTATTATAGAATAATTTCATTCCTAAATTACTAACTTTAATTATTACCTAAATTAACCATTAAATTGGAAAAACTTAATTACATTATTAGTAAATTTGGAGAAGGAGTTGGCCTAAAGTAACATAACGTTAACTAATTTGGAGAAGATATAACTTAATGTTAAATTACTTAACGTTAATTAATTTCATTCCTACTTTTATAAAGTAACAAATTAAATTAAACTAAAAATATTAAAGAAGAACTTACTTGGGTTAAGATGAAGGAGATGGCCAAAATTTGGAGAAGTTAGAAGACAGATTGGAACCGTGAGATGGGGTTGTGAGGTGAGGTTTGTGGTGGATTTTATAGAGCAGGTTTGGCAAACATGTTGAGTAATTGGCAATCCGAACCACCTTATTCTGACCAATAGGAGCACGGACATATTCACCAAATTTGTTGAGAAATATATTAATTTATTACAACAGATTCGTAAATCTGCTCAAATAGATCGAATCAATCCACACCCTTCAGCTGGCGATCCCAGATGGCGATCCGCGCCCCATATTTTTGACCAATAGGAAGACCGACATATTTGGCAAATATGTTGGGAATATCTTATTTTAATGCGATCCAAGCCCTTCGCTTCACGATCCAAGATGGCGATCCGCGCCCACCCCTCTTGACCAATAGGAAGACTGACATATTTGGCAAATATGTCCAGATACATATTTTTTTCTTTTTGCAAATACTGAACATATTTGGCAAATATGTTGAACCACTTCAACTAATAATTCGGTCAAACCTACACCTTTTGGAAACACCTGCAAAGATTCTACCCTGTTATGTCATTTACTCAATAAACTTATCAGGGGTAAATTTTACTGTTTGGACACTGTTTGGACACTGTTTGACACTGTTTTGCACTGTTTGACATTGTTTTAATGTAGGATAACTTTCCATATAGGGAAATGAGAACTTTCCATTGAGACATCCAAAAAAGAAAAGTGGGAACATTCCAACGGGACGGAGGTAGTACTAAATTTGTCTCATTTTATATTTTCAAAATCTGATTTTTTACATTTTTACTAATAGAGAGTTATATATATTAATGGTCAAAATTGTTCCTCGACAAATGTGAAATGTTGACCGTCGCACTTATTTAAGTACTATCCCATCCTTAGGCCGCATGACTTGAGAACTTAGAACATCTTATTACCATCTCCAAATATCTGGATTAGATGTAGACATCTCGGAGGCGCAAATACGGGTCTTGAAAGCAATCAGAGAGACTGTGAGCCACACATAAAACAAATAAAACCATATTTCTTGTACACACCCACTTGTACACGTCTCATATACGTGTCACTGAAAAGGTTATTTTTCAGTATGTGAACAACTTGTTCACATGCAAAACATATTGGGTAAACTCTCAAACATATTCTGCTTGAGAACAAGCACTTGTTTTCTATCCAAAAAAGAGTTTAGCATTCCATAAAATAAGGGACAAAGGAAGTACTCCCGGTCCCAAAATTATTGTCCCGCTTTCCTTTTTGACCCGTTCCAAAATAATTGTCTCATTTCCTTACCTTCCTTATTTGGTAAACAAATCTATATCAAACAGTGTCAAACAGTGCAAAACAGTGTCAAATAGTGTTGCTACAGTGTCAACCAGTGTCGCTACAGTGCCAAACAGTGTCGCTACAGTGTCATTTTCTTAATCTGTGTGAAAAACCAAACGAGACATGATTTTGGGACAGAGGGAGTAATATTTACTCACAAAAAAGAATTAACCAATAACTATACGGAGTATATAATAATAAAAGTAAAGAAAAAAAAGTAAAGATTTAATTAGAAAAACTTATTGAGAGATATTTTTTTGAAAGATTTACTGAGAGTATACTACTCCGTACGTATTAACGATGCAGGATTAGTATTCAATCCTTTCCTTGAACCCGATCACATGTGTGAACACTTGTGACAAGAAGTAATGAACAGTTCTTTCTTTTCTTCCACTTGATGATGCAAGCAGCCCCACAAGCAAGAAACCGGTGAGTGTATATGAATAACGATAGGGATGGCGCGCTGACACATGTCCACTCCTCCAGCCTGGGAAAAATCTTGTGCAGTATGGGCGTTGGGAGGAGTCCCATTCAACATTTTTTCATGTTCTTCAACAGTCATTTTAAAAAAATGACACTCATCTCTCTCACGACCTGATAGAGAGGTAAAGGTTGGATTGGTACTTGAAGTTACATAAAAAGGGTCAAATAAGTCATTATTGTCCGGCCGTTGCCATTTGAGACGGTTTCCGGTGGAATTTTTTGATGAAATTTTTTGAGAATTTTATTCATTGAGTCTAGTTTACTCATACCAAATTTCAGCTAAAACTTCAATCGGGAAGGCATTCAAATGAATTCTTGAAGATAACTGCGCTTTTAACTGTGCTACGGGTAGCAAGGGTTGCCGAAAAAGTCATCAGAAGATTTTCCGATGATCAGTGACATGTTTTCACGATGTCCGCGGTGGCCATAGTGACACAGGCGGCGGCCACAGTGACACGGGCGGCAACCTCAGTGACACGGGTGGCGACCTCAGTGACACGGGAGGCGGACACGGGCAACGGCCACACTGACATTGAAATAGGACAGTGACATAAATATTGACAGTGACATCATGTTTTTTTTCAAAAATATACCCGTCTTAGTCACATTTTTGTCATAATGTAAATGTGTTCACATTTTTGGAAATCAGCTTATGTTTAGTAATATTATGGAAAAAACCCCTATCTCTCATCTCCTCCAATCTGGATCAATTCAAACGGGGAGGGAAAGTTATTCTCTTTAACTCACATTACAAATTCTCCCCCTTGAAAGCTTGGTTCCATTTGAAGTACGTGAAGCATTGTCATCCGTAGTAGTCGATTTATTAAACAAAAACGAGAACGATTAATGTATGCACCCCCATTTTGACTTTGCACCCCATGTTTTGGGTGATATTTGACTTTGCACCCTATTTTCAAAATTATTAATATATGCACCCCCATTCACTATAAAATCATTTGACTTTGCACCCCACTCCTTCACAATTTTTGGGCTAATGGGGTGCATACATTAATGATTTTAAAAATGGGGTGCAAACTCAAATATCACCCAAAACATGGGGTGCAAACTCAAATTCTCCCTTAAAACTATATCATGATCGTGAGAGATAAGAGGCAATTTCTACGTATTACCTCATTGATCCAAAACATGAATAAAGAGACATGGGTCAAACTAATGACCTTAAACAAGCGCACCTGGAGGCTGGAAGGGAACGACTTAAGGGTACCTCATTCACTTGGAAGGAACCATCTCAACGTCATGTTGATGAACAATTCTAAATTTGATCGCTCTTTAAGGAAGTTTCTTTTACATTTCTTTAATTTTTTTTACCCTAAAGATAGTACAAATTTTAAATGTGAGGGAGTGAGTAGTTGGATCCTGATATTTTTATATGCAATTTAAGAATTAAGATGTGCATATAAAGAGTTATCCCAAAACAAAAGTAGGAAAATTAATTTGAGACAACTCAAAACGAAAGCATTTCTAAAAACATTTCGGTAGGAAGGGAATATTTCACATATACTCGTAAGTAGTTTGTTTCATGAAATAATAATAAATCCAGAGACTTCAAATAACTTTTCAAGGCATGAGAAAGAGCCGATCATCATCATCAGATAATAACCCCGACATTGATAAAACATTTTTCTGAGAATTCTACTCAGTGTAATTCGTCATCCTCTTCGCTACTATAATCAAACTCTTCATCACTACAGTCAAAGTGGCTTTCCCGGTCGGGTTTAGGATTGCTGCGAATATATTTCATCAGCTCCTCATCTTCCTCGTCACTTTTACCGCTTAGCTTCCTCTTTAATATGGCTTCAAATATTTCGGGAATCGCTTCTCCATCCCCCTCAACGAGCCGCTCAATCTTCTTCTTCAACGCTGCAGCACACAGAAACTATATTCGCTCAGGAAATGTGTCAAGACAAGGAACTTATAAAAGTTAAATATAATCCACAACTCCATTCTTTTTGAAGTAACAGAATCACTATAGAACACTCGAAAAGATACAAAGAATAAATCAAATCGAATGTATGATCAGGTCAATAGCAAGTAAAAAACAGAACCGGAAGGTCCGTGAGAAATTAACCTTCATTGCTGAGGTCGGGGGCTAGGGACGACACGGCATCCAATTGCTCCGAATTTGGCTGTGGAATTGGGGAATTAGGGTTGGGATTTTCGCCGCTGAAGTAACGATTGTGGATAAAAAAGGAAGGACCACCGGAGAGTTGCTGTGTTAGGAAGTAGACAGGGGTTGGCTTATGACGGGAAAGGAGCTTAACATCACGAGTGCAGTGGCAAATGGTTCTGAAGATTGACGAGTGTTTCATTTTCGATCCACTGCTTGCTACGGGTTTAGGAATGGAGGAGGGCCTGTCATTTTTAAGAACATACTAGCCACTCAGGCTAACGCACCAGACCATTGTCTTGAAGCCCAAATCTGAACTTTCAGTTGGACATGATCACTAAAATACTAGTATAATCTTTGGCAGGGTAATTCTATATATTGCCCACACTTTACTATTCACAGCCACAAATAAAATGAAATATCCAAATTACCCTTGTTATTAATATATGAAGATAACGTTACGCCTTTGTTACTTAGCCACTCAGGATTTAACCCGTACAACCATTGTGCCACCGTTACACGACACACCTATAGAAGAACTGAAGAAGATCCAAATTAAACGTTTGTGCAGAAGAGTTTGTTTAATAAACGTGATGCGAAAGGTTGTGCCGGAAGAATTTCCAGAAACAATTCATTTTTTTTTGAAAGATTCAAGAAATAATTTAAGTGATTTGGTTTGTGTAATTCTTTTGTCGTATCATTCGTATGAACAATACGGAGTATTAATTATACGGAGTAACAATTATTCTTAAGGTGAAGAGTGATGAAGACGTGAAGCAGTATAAAATATGATGTGGTCTTGAAGGACCTTTTTATTCATTATCATACCAGAATGGGCATACACCTTTTTCCCTAAAAGAGAGATTTAATCTCTCTATTTCAGAATAATAATGATTATAATTTCCATCAGATTAAAAAAGTAGACATGATAATTATGATATTACTCGCAAGACCTAACAACCGAGTTACAAGAAAGGAAACTTGGTTGAAAGCGAGGTGGAGCGGCAGCCAGCGGTGGAGTCGCCGATGTGGGAGAATGATCTGGTGTTAAGGTGCCTTGAGATTTAGAGACTAAATCTTCTTCTATAAAAAAAAGGAACTGAATCTTCTGCTACGAAGTTCTTGGATGTATGGAACATGGGCGCAGCAGTTGGTCGGCTAAAGGGCATAATAGGATTTGGAAAAAATATGTGGCTGTATTTAGTAAAATGGGGGCTGTGAATAGAATTTCCCTCTTTTGAATAAACCTGGCCCAAATAAGTTTTTCTGGTGAATACTAGTCTTTCACCCGTGCGCTGCACGGGGTAAGAAATTATGAAATTATATATGAATGAGTTGTGTTTACACAGTAAATTAAAATTCACATTCTTGATTCTATGTAATTATACACAATAGCAGCTAATTTGTGTATTATGTTTAAGTATGTACCAATATAGTAGGCCTACAAAAAATCAAGGTTGAGTGGCTACAATGAACATGCTGAAGTTTTAATAATTCACACACAAAAATAGATTGTGTTTGGGATACATTCAAAACATATTGGGCATTTATGGATAAAGACTCTTTGATTTCGACTGGAGACTATAAGACAGTAGGAGATTGAGATTTGAGAGGCAAGGTAATTCTGAGACTCTCATGACTAAAGGTCTGTTTGCAACAGCTTCTGCTTTTAAACAAGTGCTTTTTTTAATGAAATGGGGAGAAATGATTAAATAAAAGTTGATAGTGTTTGAGAAAAAACTGATTTTGAAAAGTAAAAGTGGACAGTGTTTGGTAAAATAAGTGCTTTTTGTGTAATACAAAAAGTAAAAGCACTTTTGACGCGGAAGCCGAGAAAAATAAAAGTTGTAGTGTTTGGGAAAATAAGTGCTTTTTTAAAGCAAAAAGCTGAGAAGTGCTTTTTTAAAAGCAGTTGCAAACCAAGGCTTTTAGACTTTAGTGAACGGCCAAACAACAATGTTCAAATTAGAAGTTAGGAAGTTACAGATTTACTGATACACGATTTCTATTTTTTAAAATCTTGTGTAGTAGTGCCAGTTTTACTTACGTGTTGCCTTTTTTTATTATAAAAGTTTATATAAATGGTTAACTCAGAATTAGTTAATTATCCAAAAAATATGTGTATGCTTTGTTGTGTACGTATAAGCATGTTTTTACCTGGATCGTAATCTGTCCCAAACCAGAACAGACCAGACTAGATTTGACTAATTACAAAAATACAAAGAAACCAAATCAGACTTTCCTAATGCATAATTTGAGGTATGCATAAACTGTTGCAATTGTTAGCCAGCAATATTGTATCTAACATTCATCATCATCATTACCCCAATGTCACAACTCACACCAACTCAAGAACATATCTCTTAACAAATACCCCGAGTGATTGTACCGTAAGTAAATGTCTACTCCAAAAGTGACATGAAATTACATAGTAATTAAAGTTATTGTCCTTAATACTCCCTACTTTTTTTTGCATTTTGCTAGTGGAGTTTTGAGTAGACGATCTTCCATCATATCCTTCCACATTATTCGACAAACATCACTTCGAAATCGGGGCAATAGTCATGGCAACACCAATAGTCTGAAATTTAATGGTAAGACCTCACAGAAAATGTTTTGTCACTTTGTTAAAGTCTCCTTCGCTTATATCAATGCTGAACAAAAGATATGAGCCCACTAAATCATCAAATTATTTTGATAGCGTAGTCTCATGAATGTCACTCTGAAAGACCAACAATATAAAATTTGTTAAGACACACACAGACATATAGATAACATATTATGATAGTTATTTAAAACAAGGCTAAAGGGTTAAATAGGTACATGAACTAACTTAAAGTGTTCAATTAGCCTCTTATATAGGAGGTTCTGATCGGCCGTCGCCAATCGGGGCGGTTCCCGATTGAATTTTTTGATGAAATTATTTGAGCATCTTCTTCATCAAGTCTAGTTTACTGATACGTTTGTAATTTCCGTATGTTTATTTACGCTTTTAGTTAGTTTTGATTGTTTAATATTTCGGAAATTACACACTTTCGGTGTAATAGTTTAGTTTGTTAAATTCTTGTAATTTGTTTAGATTAGGTTTATTCTGAGCTTAAACAGGTCCAAGATCAATCAAATGATCAATGGTGAAGGAAGGTGCAAGAGTACAAGACAAAAAGAAGGAAAAATCCTGATTTTGGTCTATACTCGATCGAGTATATACATATACTCGATCGGGTATCTGGTTGACATTTCAAATCGGATCGGATCCGAAAACAAAGGAACATGCAGGAGAAGATTTTCCCACGTTCGAGTGTCTATACCCGATCGGGTATGCTTATATACTCGATCGGGTATGCATATAAAATCTACTCGAGTATTGATCGAGTATTGACCAAATTCTGATTTCTATACATACTCGATCGAGTATGTATACATACTCGATCGAGTACTCGATCCTGCACCTCAAAAAGCCTATAAATACACCCCCTTTCCTTCACTTTTAGACACCAATTCCTATATACTCTTAAGCTCAGTCTAGAATAGCATTTCTCTATATTTCTTTTAGCATGTTTAGTCTCCAAATGAGGAGCTAAACTTCCATTTCTTGGTTTTGCTCTTGAAGCTTGATTGATTATTAAAGTTGTGAGTTATTTTCTTACTTTCTCCTCTTGATTATTAATTCTTCCCTTAATCTCATTCTATATCATTGTTGGAGGGTGACTAAGTGACGATTAGTTAACGTTCCAACATTGATTATTACTAGAAACGTTCAATGAACCGATGGTTAAATATTGAAGGTTTCACAAGTAAGTAACTTCGGTTTGTTAATGCACGGTCGTGGTTAATAAACTTAAGAGGGATCAATTTTGTTGGTTAAACCAAAACCGGTGCGTTGAGGTTATCAATCTCAATTGATTTCATCAAGGAGTTAAAAAGATTAAATGCTACTATTACATCGGTATACGGCGTTGTTCTATATTTGATTAATAGTAAGGGTTATTAATGAACGGTCGTTGTTAATAACTACCCTCGATGAACTGGTTATACTCCGCGATTGAGTATTCGAGAGGGGATAAGTTATAGATATAACAATGATCGACTAAAATATATCAACAAGTGGAAAGTAGCAAGACCAAGTCCCTTTTATTCTTGAATTTAATCCCATATAACTCGTTCATCTTCGTGTTTAAATTTAATCAAATCACTCAACAATCAAAACCCCCCTTTATCTACTATTTATATAAAAAGAAAGTTATTCCTTTCCCTGTGGATACGAACTCTACTTCATCTATACTACGTATAAGTGTTAGTGTTGAAATTACTTTGAGTGCACTCACGACAAAGTGCACGTCAAATTTGGCGCCGTTGCCGGGGAAAGGCAATTTATTTTTCTTTTTATTTTATTTTAAAGAAAAAAAAATATAATTGAAGTATAAAGACTTCTATTTCTTCTGAGCTTTGTTTGAGTATATGGTAAGAACCCGATCTATAAACGAAATCATCTACCAAACAACCCCCCAAACGGAACAAGCCTTCGAAAGGTTTAGGAATTTATTTCCGAATACTTCTTCGGAGGAATCATCAAGTGCTAGTTCTCAATCTAGCGAGACCGAAGAGCCAATCACTATGGCTCTTGAGACGAGAACATTGAGGGAGCTCACAGCTCCGAATCTTAATCAACAACCCCTATGTATCACTTTTCCAACTCTTGATACGGGGGTCACATTTGAGCTAAAATCTGGGCTCATTCATCTCCTTCCATCATTCCATGGTTTACGAGGGGAGGATCCGAACAAACACCTGTCGGAGTTCCACATTGTGTGCACAAGCATGTGCCCCAATGGTGTCTCCGAGGAGCAAATCAAACTGAGGGCCTTCCCATTCTCTCTGAAGGACACCGCGAAGGACTGGCTATTCTATCTTCCTTCGGGAAGTATCACTACATGGCCACAAATGAAGAAGGCCTTTCTTGACAGGTACTACCCCGCTTCTATTTCATCATCACTCAAGAAGCAAATAAGCAACATCGAACAAAAAGATGATGAATCTCTATATGAATATTGGGAGAGATTCAAGAAGCTATGTGCAAGTTGCCCCTATCACGGATACACCGAACAAGACCTCATCCTCTACTTCTATGATGGTCTTGTGGATCAAGATCGCCGCATGGTGAATGCGGCGTGTGGAGGGGGCATTGTCAACAAAACCCCTTCCCAAGCGAGAGATCTCATCTCAGAGTTGGCCGAGAACTCCAGACACTATAACGGGCGATCCTCAACTCGAAGAGTTATGGCGGCAGAATCCAACAACGCGTTGGAAAGTCAAGTGAACGGCTTGACAAGTCAAG